TAAAATTAATTTTTTTTTTACATTTTATTAAATAAAAATTTATGAAACTTAATATTTAAATACTTTAACATATGCAAAACAAAATTTATTAATATCAAATTGCTTGTTAAAACAGTAGTTATAAATATTGTATAGGTATTAAAATTTTAATAAAAAATAAAAAATTTTTCGTTCAGAATAAAATCATTAAGTATAATAATAAAAATTTAATCATATATAGAAATCATTATAAAGAATAAGTTTATTTAATATATAAAAGTTGTTTTTATTAGTAAAATAAAATATTTAATATATAACAACTATTTCCATTTAATTATAATAATTCTTAGGTAGTTCTTCATTTATTGGAGGGGATTGTATATTAGTAATATTGTTTTTATTACAAATATATATAGCTTTGCAATAATTACAAGTAGCTTTTTTAGTATTTTTAAAATTGAAATTTTTTATAAAATGGTTTCGTATTTTGCTTCAGTTTGTTATTGTAAAAGAAAATATTGTTTTTAACAAATTACTTATAATAATATTATTAATATTACTATTTTTACAACTAATTAAATTACTAATTTCATTATTAATATATTAAAAATTATAATTATCAAAAAAAAATTCATATTTTATTTTAAATAATAATTGTTAAAATAAAAAAAATATTAATATAAAACAAGTTTACTAAAATATAAAAAAATTATAGAAACAACAAAAGTAAAATCATTAAAAAAGTTTTTTATTTATAATATTACATTATAAAAAAATAAATAAATAGAATCAAGTTGTAAAATTTTTTTAATTTTTTAATTTTATTAATTTATATATTTTAATTTAATTTAAATTTTTTTGTTTTTATTTAAATATAAAATATAAAAAGTTTAAAATCAATTTTGATTTGAACTGAAACTGATTTAATTTAATTGGATTGAATTAAAAAATTTTAAAACCAAATCAGTCTAAAATCAATCAGACCAAAAATTTTAAAAACCGAATTAATTTAAATCAAAACTGATTTGTAAATCAATTAGTTTTTGGTTTATATCTTTGGTTCCTACTTATAAATAATTAGTACTTTTTAGTTATTCAATTATATTTTGCTTAAAAATTAAAACAAAAATTAAATCAGTTCAAATTAGTTTTGTATTACAACAACGATTCCAACAACAATGTTAATCACATGTTTATTAACAATTATAATAACAAATAACTTTACATATATTTTATTATCTATAGTAATCAAAAAGTTAGAAAGATGAGATAATGAACCTGTTCAAGAGCTTTCTTAAGGAAATAATTGATTTTTTACTTTCAGATTTTATAGTTTATTTGACTTAGTTTTAGTTACAATTACTTTTATTTTTTTATTTTTAATTTTTATATATTTAAAAAATCAAAAGATTTTATAAAATTTCTTGAGTTAATAGGCATAGCCACTATTCAGTTTTATATAGTACTATAATATTACTTTTGAAATTTTTTAAAAATTAATTAAATAATATTAAGCAAGCAAACTAATGTTTAACTTTTCTGAAATAATAAAAGAAATGTTGTTTCTTTTATGATATATATTTTATTATATCTGATATAAAATAAAAAAAATGTGTTTATTTATAATTATTATATGTATTTGATATTGTAAAAAACAAAATATATATTACTTAAACATGTTATAAAAAACAAAATATATATTATTCTTGAATAAGTTATAATTTATATTAAATAATATAATTATAGCTTATTAATAAACTATAACTATATTATTTTTTAAATATACAAGTTATAGTTTTAAAGTAACAGACTTGTTAATTTTTAATCTTAATAATATATTATTAAATACTTATACTTAATTAATATTTATTATCAACAATTTAACAAACAATATAATTTATTTATAAAAAAATTTTTATAATATTAAATGTACATTATTGTTTTATATTTTTATTGACCTTTGTATAATCTTGAAAAGTGTAAAGATCACTTGATTTTAATTTGATAAAGTGAATTGTATTATAATCTTGATTTCAACATAACCATTTATTTAACATTTTTGTTAAATTACTTTTGAAAAACAATTCTTATTATATAGATAGAATTTATTTATTTAAAAAAAAATTTAGGTATTGTATTTTTTTTTAGAAATTTAGTCTAATTATCAACACATGTGTTTATTAAAAACTAACCGACATAGTGCAGGATTATATTTGTAGCATTGATATGACGCAACCCCCACGTGGCCTTATTCATTATCGGTGAAATTGGGCGGGTTTTCAAAAAAGAAAACTCCTGCATAGGAAAAAATTACGTCAGCGAATACCGAAAATTAGACGTGATGGAATTTACCACCTGTTCACTATTTTTGGGTATCGGTATTCAAGGGGTTGCACCTCATCTTAAGTAGATCGAAGATACTGTATAATGCGGTCAGATGTCATCTGAAGATCTCATTCGATTGGAAGATTGGGAGGTCACTGGCGTTTGTGCACAAATGCAATCACGAGCCAATTCAATAACGAGCACAAATTACTCCCAAGATTGCTTGGAAATCCCGCGGGAGTTAAAAATGGAAGTTTCGTTTTGTAATAATATTGTATCCCTATTAAAATTTTATATCTTGGGACAGACAATTATTTGATTGTAATGCGAGCATGCACAACTGTGCCCGTTCATTTAAAGAAAGCGGATAACATTGGAGAATTCGTAAGGCATCAATAAATGAGATACACATTGTGAAATGAAAGAGATATCGAGATAAAGTGATGAACGGATGAAATTAAGATCATAGAGGGAATGACCGACCGCCTTTAGTAAGTCCTGACGCGGAAATGCGGTATGATGGAAAACTCTGCAATTCAAGAATGTATCAAGTAAACAACAAAAGAGGCACATCAAAAGGGCACAACCGTTTTATTTACCATGAAACTCGTAGCAGAAATAACACACGTGAATCCAGTTCTAAGTTAATATGGGATAATTGTGTTGCTTCCCTGACATGATTTACGCGAAATAAATTCGAGACAAAGGAATGATGATGTTTATTTATCGTAAAATTAAAAATTCAAAATTCCTAAAGTCATGATTGGAAATGGCTGCACCACGTGGTGTAACTTTTTTATCCTAGTTAAGGCGAGTGACCGATTCACGCTTAGTCACACGACTTACTTTTATTAACTATTTTCGGTTCCAAACAACCTTTGAAAAAAAAAAAACGTGTGTGCAACTATTTCAACAATTTTAATTAGCATGCATCAAATCCTAACGCATGAAGTTTAAATGTCATCACATATGTTCGGACATGCGCGTGGGCGTGAATGTTGTGGTTGCGAATGTGGAGCTACCATTTTGTTATTTCCATTTTGCATCTGAAAAAAAAAAATTCAGATTTTTATGCGATAGAATTCCACAATTCCACACAATTGGATTTGCGAAATTGAATCATTACTTTTCATTCATTCATTCATCAAGTGAGATGAGGTGATTCATAATTTAAGGTTAAAAATATAACCATTATATTCCCTTGCATAGACAGCAGACATACTTGCCGACACGTAATAGGACGGGATGGTGACACCGAGAAATCACTTCGTCACTTTGATTGGTGTTTCGATTCTTTTTTCGGAAAGAGAAGCCAGCAGTAATATTGTAATATTCGGCACAAGACAATCATCATCTTATCGGGTATCGGCTGTATGGGTTGGCTTCCTTACTGGTAACGTGATGGGTATAACTGACATGATGGTATTTGACACCCGGGGATTTTCCTTTCTACCTGGAAGAAGTTTGAGTAGCAAACACGTACAAGTTTTAATATTTTATTTTATTTTATTATTATTATTATTATTATTATTAATTTTTTTTTTTTTTTTGTCTCGTAATTTTAAATAATAAAACTCATATTTCACGACATCCCCACGATAGGCCAAGACATCTAACATATGGAAACTTTAATTTCAAGATTTGAATACGTATCCCCTGTTAGTCTATTCGCTCGCATTTGTCATCATGCATTATTGTTATTGTTTTTTTATATTTATTAATTCAATCAGCCACGATCATATAACAGGAAGTGATCGACTATTGTGGTTGCCTCTTAACAAAGAATTTTGTTTTGGATATTTTTCAGACAAAGAAATCCGAGCGTCGCACTTGAAATAATATTTTTATTTAATTTATGAAATGTAATTGAGTTTATAAGAATAATAGTTCTTTTTTTTTTTTTTTTTTCATGATGCGCGCATGTCCGTCTATACCCTTGTGGTACTTATGCGAAGGTGGCAGTCCTGTTAAAATCGAGTTCATGATCTCACAGAATTTGCAATTTGGTTCAATGCGTGATTATGATTTCGCGGGTTAGGCTATGCAGAGCTGCTGCGAACAAATTGAAATATTTATTTGTCATGACGCACAGAATAGTGAGATGATGTGATTTTACAAAAAATGCTATCACAATTCATTCTTCGCGTGGTTCAATTTAATGTAATGTGGTAATTGTTTACACCAAACTTCACTTTATGCTTTCATTATCAGTCAATTAGTTCCACGATGAAGATCCATCACAAGGTCCGAGCACAGGGAATTTTTGATAGTTATTGTTTTATGGAGGGTCCGATACCCATACTATATTACCATTTTTATGCATAGGTACAAATGAAGGAGGAAAAGATTTTCATATTCTTTTTTCGTTCTACAAATGGAACTCGATTATTATCATTTTCTTTTTCTCCAGGGTTCGATTCTATTGTTAGATCTCTTCCTATCCCCTTTATTTTAATCTGGCCAATGTGATCATTGATCTGAAAGAGCAACGATAACCACTCGGAGAAATAAATAAAAAAAAGCTCCGGCATTTTTATCTCGCCACACGCGTTATAACGAAGACTAACGTGATTCTTGAGGAAAAAAGTTGAATTGATGGGTCAACTTTAGCGTGTATTTGGTTAGAAAAAAATATTGAACCTTCAAATATGAAATCGATTGGTGTTTGGATTGATACGCGACTGATTTCTCCGTCTGTGCCACGACCCATTTACTGCGGATGACACGTTATCCAATTCATTTAAAAGTTGCTTTCTTGGCACATCAGAACATGAGAATAAAACAATGCTTTTCAAGTTTCTTTTTGCGACAAGATGCCTTGACGAACACGAGATGATATGTTCATCATGAAATCCAACGATTTATGGCAGCGTCAATATGAATCAAGGTGTTCTTTTCTTTTCTTTCTTTTCTTTACATTGTTCGTTAAACAGGGATCCGTTGACCCGTCTTCATTTATCATGCACTGCTTTGAAGAGAACACATGAAAATTTCTAGGATTATTGCTTTCTTGCACAAGGTGACTTGTTTCTTAAAGAAAGTGATTTCAGGAGTCTAAAATAATTACGTCGAAAACGTACAGTGTATAGTTGCTCTCGATTGATTGGATGATTTGATATTCTATCCGATCACACCAAATGGATGAAACTGTCTAACCCCTAACGTGCGTCTCAAGAAAGTTGGTATGTGCATTGATCTACCTTATTATTTTACCTCGTTTCTCTATGCGCATAATCTTTGATTCAGAGAGCATTGATTTGCGAGTTAAAGTCACCGATGATCTCTCAATTACAGATTAAGTTGTTAGTCCATGTGCTTTGGTGAAGACGATAGGTGGTTCTGATGCGTGCGTTGATGATGGAACAGGGGTTAAGGATTTTTCGTTCGTGCTGCCACCTACAGTATGTTTTCCCGTGCCTTTCTAGGAAGGTAAATTTTCGAATACAAACAATATTTTTCCCATGCTCAAGTGTCTTGATTCTCGTTACACGCGGAACCGAGCGAGGCTAGCTTTAATTAAAAATTTCATTAAAAATACACATATATATAATATAAAAATTATTATTAATTACAAATCATATAATAACCTGTTATTGCATTACGAACGGTTTGATTCGTCGTCACATAAATTCATGGTTTGAGATTTTCTTATAACTGTATATTCCCCCACAATACGTTACATAATGATACGCCTGTGAAATACATGAAAAAAGCTGATGCATGATATGTGCTTCCATCTATCTATGCAGTATATTACAGCAATATAAATAAAACACTCTAGTGTAATGACATTGTACTACCAAACACTCATATATCTACTAAAAAAAATTGCGTATTTGATCCACCAATTTTTCTCAACGAGCAACGAGTCGAGTATTGCAGCCCTTCTCAATTCAGCATTATATATAAGGGTGTGTAAATCTTTCATCATCTATTGACTTCGCTCTTCAAAATAATAATTGTCGACCTTTTTTTTTTTTTTTGCTTGTGAAAAAAGAAAAGAACAAAATTCTGTCCTGAGGACGCTTTATCATTGGAAAGATCCCCCGATTCCATCTTTCTTTCCATCATCATCTGACCAGCCAACCTACAAGGAATTGATTCTAGATGGTATAAAGAATAAGAATAATGGTCCTAAAGTTCATTCAGTGACAAAATTTTGACCAATAAAAAAAATTCAAAAAAAAAAAATTTTTTTTATAATCCTTGTTCCTCGTTTGAAAGGGCGAACAAAGAAACAAAAATTGTCGTGAATAGAAAGCACGCTGACACAATAGGCATACATCCCCTCCATAAATCACTAGTACATATATTCACTTGCATATCATAGAATACTATTGACAAAAAAAGAAAACAATCTGCTACACAAAGAAAAGGCAACAAAAAATCAATTCAAAAAAAACCAAAAAATCAACCCCAGCATAGGTCTAGTCGCTCCGTCATGAGCTTGTTCATCTTGGACGATATGATTGTTGACGAGTCCGGCGATTCTCATGAAAATAAACGTGTGAAAATTACTACGGCATGCGATACTTGTCGTAGGCGAAAGGTTAAATGCGATGGTGCTTCCCCGTGTGCAAACTGTCAACGAGGGGGTCTGTTTTCGTTATCAATTCTTGTCATGTCTTTCCACTTATCCTTATTTAGTTCCCGAGGCTCATTCAAAAAATCGATCTCAACTCATTTTAGGTTACCAATGCACATTCTCCGATGCATCAACGAAAAGGCCTAGAGGTCCTCCTAAAGGATTCGTGGCTCTCATAGAGGATAGACTGCACACCATAGAGTCCCTCTTGGTTAACCTTGTGAACAAGGACAATATCAATGAAAATATCAAGGAGGTGAAGAGAGAGAGGGAGCAGACGATCGAGGAGACGACGACAAGCACCCAACAAAGATTTTCCACCTTTAAGATACGCCACTATTCCCCTTCGACTAACAACTCCCAGCATCATCTGTTCATTCCATCTACTCCGCCCACCGATTCAGCTGGATTATTGGATCACTCTCAGAGTTTGATGCCCTCCTTTGGCGATGAGCTCGCCAGCGATGACGAGGATTGTCTCCAACAAAACTTGATCTCCCCTTTCGCTGAAAACAGTTTGCAAAGCAGGTCCTTATCATTTCTCATTAACCAAGATCAATCGGACGTCGGCTCATACGTCGAACCGCCGTTACCAACATCCACGCCAAGTCTCGAATCTCTGCAACCTGACGTTGAACGTCAATTACTGGAAAAATACTTCAATCACTTTCACCCTTACTTTCCGATAGTCAACAGAAGTCAATTCATCAGACGACTGAATGTCGAAGATCAACCCTCGCCGTTGCTCCTCAACGCTATCTATGCCGTCGGTGCTCTATTTCCTCCGGTCCTTTCGGATTCCTCCAATCCATCGGTTTATTATGAAAGAGCTCGGAGTAAGTTATTATTATTATTATTATTATTATTTATGCTCCTTCCGATCTCTCGACTATTTGATCCTCATCACACTTACCGTCGTCGTGATCTTTCGTGGTCTAGGTTTACTGGATCATTTTATCGACGTACCCAGGTTATCCACCGTCCAGGCATTGATCCTCTTGTGCATGGTAGACCAAGGAAAGCCGTCGTCATACAGATCGCAAACTTACTCATCTATGGCCATCCGGATGGCACAAAGTATGGGGTTGAATCGCCGAAATGGTGAGGTGTACCAAGGAAAAGGCCGACAGACGAAAAAATTGGTGTGGTGGGGATGCTTCATTATTGATAGGTTGAACAGCCTTTCCACCGGTGACCCCTTGGCCATCAACGATAAGCTATGTGACATCGAATTTCCGTCGCCGGACGAAGTTGACGATCAAGATGAAAACCAGCAACCATCGTCATCTCAACAGACCAACACTCAAAGTTCCACCTATACCCAGCAAATCAACATCTTCGTGAATTTCGCAAGACTCGCGAGACTGACTGGTCAAATCATCGAACATTTGCAATCGGTTTCTTGCACCGGGATTTCTTCATCTTGGAATCATCATGTGATGGTTTCCGGTTTTGAGAACTTACTCCTTTCCTGGCTACGGGAATTACCACCTTACTTGCACTACACGCCATCCCCACAGCACATGAAACTCCCGGGACACATAGCCTCAATACATATGCACCATCAGGCATTATTCTTGATGCTTCATTATCCGTACATTGCGGGAGGTCACAATTCTCGATCAAGAAACTCCAGGGCGTACGCAAAGTCTCTGAGCGTGTGCACATCGGCCGCAAATCGCATCACGCACATTGGTGGTATGTATCTCAAGTTCATCTCACCGTCGAACCAACCAAAGACTTCAATACTAACATTTCACTTCTTACCCTGTTTTCTAGTGGAAGCTCTGAATAACATCAACGTGTGCATAACATTTCCCACCATGTTCTATTGCCTCGGAAAAGCCGCCAAGGTTCACATGATCAACATCGCTTCGAATCAACGCGGACTGGCCATCCCCGCATACGAAAATATCGTGAAGATCATCAAGATTTGCCGGTTCTATGAAGAGAATAACATCATCGCTGAGCTGGCCAGTCAAACTGTCAAGGCTCTAGGAAAGGTCTTAATCGATAATCAGGATAAATTCTCCCAAGAGGACAATTTTATTTCCACCAGTCTGCCGTCACAGCCATCATCGACGCACAACATCAAGATATCACCGACCATGGCAAATCAGACGTATGGAGGAGAACCCTCGACCGCGGCAATTGACAATCGAACATCACAGGCACAATTGATGGTCACGGTTCCGCCCGCGTATGTCCCATATTCTTCTCACTCCGGAAATTCGAAGAGGGAATCTCCGCCACCGCCGTCATCTGCCTCAACAAACATCCAGCAACAGCGATCCCAAAATTTTTCGTACACACAGGCACAGGAAAACACGACACAGCAGCAATTCCTGCCGGTGAATCACGGTCACATATTTGATCAGTTCACAACCATGCAAATGCAATCCCCGGCCATGATATCGACAACGGTGGCCACCGAGATATCGGGAGAACCTCAATTTTGGGAACTCGGAATGAATTTTTCCTCCGCTCACACCGGTATGGTCGAGGGGTTTAACAACAATAATCCGTATAACAATCAGATGACTGTTACCAGTCCGGTGTCGGCAACCTCCACGACCACGACACCATCCATACCTCCGAGTACCGTATCGTCTTCACCCTCGGACTACTTTGCCTCTCAACAGTTACCTCAACAACAAAGGCAAAAGACACCTAGCACCTCATCCGCATCCACGTTCTCACAGGGTGCATTAAAGCCTCCCGCGAGATCAAGTCAAATGTCTCTTGATTCTATCGAACGCGACAGTGATCCCGGTTCGAACATGATGACGGAGGCATTGAGGAACGCTGGATTGCAGAATGTCCATAATACGCAAAGGTATGTCTTTATGGATACGAATGACAATAATGACAATGGTGTCTATGGTCGAATGTCTGCCACCAATGAGACTCATCCACGAATTTTCCACAAGATCCACCCTCGACGGATGACGAAGAAAGAAGTCAGCACATTGCAAGACAGCAGGCTTTCTCACACCTCTAATAATGGCGGTCAACAATCTACGAATCACGCTGAAGCCATATACGTCTTGTCAAGAAGACCAAGTAGTTGTGGCCTAACATCCGCTGTTGGAGGTTTAAAATTCGGCGCTTCTGTTGGTCATGAGATCACCTCCGTTGGAATTGGCTGCGATGACAGTTATGAGCAACAACACAATGGTCCATTCAGTGCGACCACCTTAGAAATGAAGGAGATTAATGTTGGTTACTCTGTGGGTCATTATTTTCGGAACTCTGCCTAAATAAAATATATATCTATATATTTCACAAGCTTCTCGTTCAAACACACTTCCATATTTATTATTATTATTATTATTATTATTATTATTCTTTCTTTCTGTATCATCATCTTTTCTTATGTAGATATCTTTTTTATTACCTATCATATACATCATATATTTTTACGAGTTTTTAAAGTTTTTTATTATACATATAGTAATGGGACAATATTTATACTGCAGGGTAGTAACAGAAAACGCGGGATGTTGGAATTCTATCCTGCAATCGGTCAAAAAAAGAGTTATTGCATTATAGACATCAGGAAAAGGAAAAAAAATTGGGTCGATTTATTTTCGCACCATTCATTGTAAAATTAGCACACTTCATACATCTATTGGACATTATATTTATACCATTTTTTTTATTTATTTCTATATACATATATATATATATAACTATATCATTTATTCTACTATGGAGGGTTTCTTATACACGGACAATGCACACATTCATTTCGAACATACAATCTATTTATTATTAACTGTGAAGTTGATTCATTTTTTTTTCTACGGCATGTATTTTCTTCCTAAAGGAAAAAAACAAAAAGCATCTTGCAAAAGAAATATAAATGCCCCTTTTTATATCTTCTTCTTTTCTTGTATCATTTTTTCTTTCTCTTTGCTTTTTCCATTGTATTAAAAAGATCACTTCCAATTCATTTATATTTATCCATCCATTCATTTATTCATGGTGATCCACTGTTAATAATGCATTTTCCTTTTCTTGCATATAAAAATTTTTAACCACGTATAAAAAATTTTCTTCCTTGCCAATTTGTTTTTTATTTATTATGTATCATATTTTGTAGAAACCCGTTAAAACATTATTTATTCTATTATCTATCTATTCATTTATTCATTATCCATCTACTGTATCTATCTATTATCTATATATGTTATTGGACCAAAAATAAATACTTTGAGAAAAAAGAACCATCAGGCTTATTATGACTTTTCACTTTCCCTTGATAAATGTTGGAAGGAAATCAGGAAATCAGGAAATCGGCGAAAAAACTTGTCGTGTCTCGTTGCTACTCGAGGATTTCTTAAACGGGGCAGGCATCCGATGTTTATCAAACAACACATACATAGGAGATCTCGCGATCTTGCGTTACATTACATTACATTGCATCCCAATGCGTCGTTGACTTGTTACAAAAGAATCTCTTTATTATTAGATATCACTATGTACACATAAAAATTTTACGCGTTCGTGTTTATGTTTCACGTCACTGCTTAAAAGGCGTGATTTCTCGTGCAGCAGACACCTAATTTGACAGAATTTAGTGTCCAAAAGTTTAATGCAAACTCATTACAAAGGAATGCTGGAATTGACATGCAAGTCAGTATTTATTATTGTTCTGATTAAGATAACTTAAGGCGGGTTCATCATTTCGTTCTCACCGTCGCTAGGCATACAAAAACTACTATCTTCAAACTACAGACATGGAAGGACAGCCCCGACGTTATTATTGACGTTTTTCCAAAGTATAGTTTGTTCGATGAAATTTGAATAGTACCACAAATGAACTTTGTGAACTAAATGATCACACACACCATACTTTAGAAAATTCTTGCCAGAAACCTAATTCAGGACATCTTTTTTTTTCAATGCAACAAGCTCAAGTAGATTTCTTGCCCGTTTAAATATTGAGGAGCGTCCTTTAAATGATAGTGTCGAGCCTGAAAATAGCCGTAGTACTACAATTGTCAATTGCGGAATTAAAGGAAAAGACATGGTTGTTTATCTTTGCTATCTGAACAGTGCAAAAACTTTGAAGAAGTGTTGAAGATCAAATAAAGCTTAGTATGTATTTAGGCATAGACCTTTTCTTTTAGCCCTTGTCATTTTCTGCTTCTGCTTGTCATTAGGTTAAAACGTTAAGTTGATATTGTTGTAGTTATTTTAACTTTGTCATATTATTATTATTATTTGTTTTATTGTTAATTTATTTGATTCCTGTGGATAGTAAAGTATTTGCTATATTATATCGATGTTTCCATATATGATTGTAAAATAATATAAGAACTTCGATAAATACTTTAATTCAGTTGTAAATTTCAGATATTAAAAAATATATTGAATATAATTCCATATACGAATTCTACAGCTTGTTATATATTTAATATGGGTTAAGCATTGTTATTTGGATAAAGTATAATATTGATAGTATCTATTCTTTATCTAATTTCTTTTTTTGTTTTAAGATAGTTAAAAATATGAAAGATGTCATCTGATCAGAAGCTACATCTAGAGAAATATGAATTTTATTATGTTTAAAATATAGGTGATTGAAAAAATTCTTATGTTAAAAGGATCTCTGAGAGCGGTTTGATTTTAAATGTAATAAGATTACTGTATTTGTTATTATAAAATCCTTTTAGATACATGTTGAAATTTTTAATTATTTTCAGGTTAAAGGTATTATAGGATTGGTCAAATGTTTTAAATATTGAGAAACTTTTACAGATTATATAAAATCTGATAATAATAAGTATTTTTTTGTATCATTTGAAGCAACCTTTTAAATTTGTATTGTTAATAATAGGATTTTCTGAAGTGTAATGATAAATTATTTTATTAAATAGTGTTGATAAATCTTAGTTTGGATTTAAATTTAGTAAAATCAATATAAATAAATTTTTGTATTATAATGTGCTTAATTTTCAGAATTAAAATTGTAAAGTTAATTTTTGTTTATCTTCTGAAAGAATTAAAAAAGAATTGAATTATTTTTCGATTATTTTTAACCTTTATAGTTATATACTGTAAATATGAGTTGCTGATAGAAATATTTAATAAATATTTTAGACATTTGGTAAGATCGTTGCTAATATCTATTATATAATGTCTTTTTCTAAAATGTTTTTATAAATACTAATATATCTTTTATAGGTTTTAATAAAGAAATTAAAATTGTAAACAAATCAAAATACTAGATTTAAATTTAAAATTGGTTTATAAGATATGATTAAATTTTTGTTATTATTAATTAAATTTGAAAAATTCAAGATTACAATATATAATATTTGCATATATAAAGAGTTGCAATTAGAACAGTTTAATAAAGCAATTAAAACAAAGGTATTAATTAAAAAAATTAAAGTTAGAAACATTAAATATATTAAGTTACAATATTTGAATAAAATTTTATATATAAACTAAATAAAAATGTTTATTTTTATTTAATTAAAATTTAATAGACTTTTATTAAGAAATGAGATAAAAAAAATTTTAAACCTTTTTATAATAATTTATTCAGATATACTGTTTAATTTTTTCTTTCTATTAATGTTTTAAAAGAAGTTTATTAAGTATTTGAATAATTGTTTAAATAAAAACTTTTTTGTTAAATTTAAAAGAATTTGCAAAAAGATAAAAGTTTCAAGATTTTCAAAATTAATTGTTTTTGAATTGTCATACTTGATTTTAACATTGTTTATAATTATAATTTTTTTTGTTATATATGATATTGTTTATTTGAAAAAATTGATTAACAGTTTTGAAAAAAGGCTTTTAATTGTTTTTGAATTAGCAATTAAAATTAGATTATTTATATATGCTAAAGCATTTGAAGTTAAAAATTTTTATATTAGATTTTATTTGAAGAAATTGAATATAAAAAGATTATAAAAAATAATTCAAATAATCAAAGAAATGAATTATTTCTGTTCTATATTATTATTAATTAAAAAAGACTTAATAAATTGAAAAAATAAGTTAATAGATATTTCTTTATTTGTAAATAAATCAATAAAAAGATTGATTAATAATAAGAGATATATAATTTTTTGTATTAATTTTTTAATAGCCAGTATTGAAACATAATCAAAAGCTTTGATTATATTAAATAAAACAAATCAAAATTTTTTGATATTATTATTTGCTGATTAAATAGTTAAATTAGAAATTAGAAATTCAAAAGTGCTTTGATTAAAAAGTCTTACAAAGTTATAATTATAAAAATCTTTTTTATAAAGTCTACTAATAATATTAATTTAATATTATTGAGATTATGGCTTTATATTATTTTTTTGTTTCTAGATAAGAAATTAAAAAGAAAAATAAGACTTGATTGAAGATTAAAATAAATAACTTGTAATTTTTTCTTTTAATAAATTAATTATATTATAACTAATTTCTGATCTTATTAAGAATTTTTCTTTAAGAAAATTATAAATGGTTTTGTTAATGGAAGGATTATCAAATAAAAATAATATATAATTATAAATAACTTTATTTATTTTGTTAGTTTGAAAAGTTTTTTAAAATTAAATCTTTTTTTTATATATAATGATTTTAATATATAATATTTGTTAATTATTTTTTGAATTATATTAGAATTTTTATCTAATTATTTTTGTTTAGAATTCTTAAAAGATTAATTCTAAACTTTTATAAATTTAATATTTTTTTGATATAACTTTTAGATTTGTTATAAAAGTTCTTTATTGTTTTTTTTTTATTTAAATAAAATTTCTTAAAGAATTCTTATTAAATTTGAACAATAACTTCTTGAATTAAAAGTTTTTTAAAATTTTTTTGATTCTTAAAATAATATATTTGAATTGTTATAGGTTGTATTATATAGAATACAAAGTTTTTAATCTAAGTTATATCAATATATAATTGTTTTTAAGTTTAGAAATAGTTTTATTAATTTTTATTGTTTATTTTTAATTTTTTATTGTAATTTTTTAAGAATTCTTTGATTATATTAACTTTAACTCTCTTAATAAAATTATTTATAAAGTTTTTAATAAAATTATAAAGTTTATTTCAGCTAAAATTCCTAATAATACTATTTTAGTATCAAGTTGCTATTAAATTTACTATAAGTTTAATATAGTAAATTACAATCCATATATTAAATTCATTATAAGTCAATATTATTTTAGTAAAGCTTCTAATAATATCACTTCAATATTACTTTGATATTACTTCAATATTATTTTGATATCATTTCAATATCAATTTGATACTTAAATTTACTATAAATTTATATAAGTAGATCACAACCCATATATTAAATTTACTATAGATTGGTACCATTT